AGAGCTTTAAATCATGTTCTGAGCAGGTCACATCACCAGCACACTTTCCTGTTAATCTATTGCATGGTTTATCTTCTGGACATTCTGGGCACCTTTCTTGACAAAAGGCTCCAAAATGTCCTTCTCTGCAAGCTGAAAATGTATTTTAAAATAACGAACTAATGTTTAGATAAGAACAGTACGTTATGGTCCCACCCCCTTCAAAAAATAGTAATCTTTATCTAAGTCCCCATACAATAAGGCATGTAGGCATATAGATCTGATTCCATGAAGTTAAACAATATCCACATGAGTGCTGAGAAGCAGTGGCGGAGCTTCATGTTCCGGCACCGGGGGCGGGGAGCAGGCAGGGGCGGGGCACACATCCAGGGGCAGGGCACGGCACCTGCGGGGGCAGGGGGCACCCGCGATGGCACCCTGGGGATCACGCTGCCAGGGGTGGTGCGCTCCCCCCGCATTCCTCTTCCTCCATCAGTGATGAAGGGCACAGAATAAATAGGGTCTACTTATTCCTTCCTGTGTGTGTCCATAGGGGATGGGAAGTGGGAGCAGTCCCCCCCCCCAAAAAAAATATTCTGCAGATTCCCAGTTTGTTTTCAGGTAAGTTTTATTCAAAGTTTAGTGATTCCAAGTTTTTAATTCTTTTATCATGCAGGTCTCTAGACCTTGTATAACCTCAAGTATGAAGCAAGATGTGCAGGCAATGTTCTGCTCATTCAGTTTGTGAGAAAGGGAACAGAGGGGAGAAAGTCCCTGTTGTGCACCTGGAAATCACTGCACTGAAAGGACACATTAGTGGGAAAATGTAGGGAGGCGACGTGTTGAGATTTCTGCATTTTCTGCATTGTAGAGGGTTGGACTAGATGCCCCCTGGGATGCCTTCCAACTCTGCAATTATATGAGTCTATGCTAGCCCTGCCAAATAACCCAGTGTTGTACCCATTTTTATTCGGGAAAGGGGAGTTAAAGTAGTGTATACAGTCTTGAAGTGTAGTTTTTATCCTGGTTTGTCTTTTTTTCAAAAAGGGAAATGAAAAGTGTCAGGTGGCTATGAAGTTTATTCTAACAGCACTGTAATTAATTAAGGCCGGGAAGCCAGGAAAAAATCAAGGGGTTCAGTCATGGTGAAAGACACTGGGCGCCTTCAGACTGTGTTCCGCAAGAGGGATTCAAACACATACCAGAAATTTAGGCTTGCGAAATTAAAGTGGATTAAATTTATATAGCAAACTGGCAGGCTGGATTCCTAATCCCGAGCCCAACCCACTTGGGCCAATTTACACCAACCTCCTTTGAAGATGTCCTTTGAGCACCAGTCAGCTAACACTGTCTGGATGTGCAGTACATTAATTTTTCATAAAGGAACAAATGAAAGCCATTCATTTATAATACAGTATAAATTTTATACGAAATACATATACTCAAGGACATCATGGGATAAATGGTTGAACTTGCCCAGTGCCCTTGATGATTCCAATGTCTGAACGAGAAGCAGGTTTTGCCTCTTCTTGATTCTGCCTTATATTATAGCTTTCTTACTTTATCCTAATTACCTTAATGAGAAGCACTGTGAACAATGCCAACCCCTATCTATACAGCTTTGCCCTGGATTCTGTTTCTTGTTCATGTTAGAATGTGATGGGAACAGGCTATTTTATAAAAAGCTGCTATATTTTATTATTATTGTTATTGCTACACAGGTGGTAACCATTTTAGGCGCATCCAATTGATGCACGATTACCAATGTGCAGGTCCTTTTGGATGCAGAAAAGGGGCGGGGCGTGCTTATATGTGCTCCCCTGATGCTTGTGGTGCTTGGGAATGGAACCCCTGCATGAAATGGCCGCTGCCTGTATTTATTTTTATCCTGCCTTAGTCTGGGACTTAAGGTGGCTTACACAGACAAACTAGAAAAACCTAAAAACATAGAAAAGACAATAATTAAATGTAGCTAAACACTAACAGATTTAAAAGTCCATTAAATATTTAATATTTAAAAGTCCATTAAAAACACAGACAACAATTAAACCATCACAGCACCAGGCTGCAGACATATGACTTTCAGCTAACTTTGTGAAGCATGTACATAAATAGGTCATTACTGTGATGATTAGTAACAGTGTTCCATACCTTTCTAATTTCCTTTTCTCATTTTTTTTGCTACTCCTTCCCATAACCCTTCCCCACACTCTAAAGTGGACAGTTACCAGTTTTCATGAATGTAGCATCCGACTTTGAGTTAGTTGAGATCAGTTCTTTACCACTGACTGGTACATACTGTCTTTTCCATAAGCTGATTCCAGTGCACTTTTCTTCTAAAAGGCAGGCTGATATTGCAAGCTCCTTTTGTATATACATTTTGTCCCCCATAGGCAAGATGAGCATCTTTCCAGGGTATAGCCAGAACATTTTGGCATCTGAAAGGTATTTTAAAATTCTTTTTTTTCTTTGCATTTTCCTAGAATAATCTGCCTGATCATATTGTACCATTGTGACTTCACTTGTGTCATTATTATACACAGAGCCACCTGGCTTGCCAATTAATAATATGCTGGCTTCCTAATTCCTTTTTTCTACCAAGCGAAGTCCGAATGCTGCATTTGAAGATGGCTTTCTGAACAATTAGGAATGTGGGTGGCCTTGTGGGTTAAACCACAGAGCCTAGGACTTGCCGATCAGAAGGTCGGCGGTTCAAATCCCCGCAACGGGGTGAGCTCCCGTTGCTCGGTCCCAGCTCCTGCCAACCTAGCAGTTCGAAAGCACACAGTGCAAGTAGATAAATAGGTACTGCTCTGGCGGGAAGGTAAATGGTGTATCCGTGCACTGCTCTGGTTCGCCAGAAGCGGCTTAGTCATGCTGGCCACATGACCCGGAAGCTGTACACCGGCTCCCTTGGCCAATAAAGCGAGATGAGCGCCGCAACCCCAGAGTCGGTCACGACTGGACCTAATGGTCAGGGGTCCCTTTACTTTACCTTTTTCTGAAAAATTTACTGCTGTGCAGGAAGACATTGCACTGAATTCTGGAATTATTATTCATCTTGAAACTACTATTTATAACATTTGGAGTTAACAACCGACTAACATCTGGGAATTTTGTACAGGGATACCAGCCAGAGGTAGCTCCAAATATAGACCAGTAAGCCAGTCTTGCAGTGAGCCACAGACCCGGGCAAGTAACAATTGATTCTGCACAAGTAGCTTTGCTGAACTAATAGGAATATAGAAAGCTACCTTATACTACCTCAGAATGTTTATCTATCTATCCTACTATTGTCTGTCTCTAAGGTCTCAGCCATCAGCCACTCCCTAATATTTTTAAGTGGAGATATCAATAACAGAACTATGGAGCTGTCTGTGTACAATACTGCTCCTCTGCACCTGATCCTGTAAGAGTATATATATAATTAAATATAATTAAATACACAATTAATAGATTTAATACAGGGCAACCCAACGTTTCATACCAAGTGGGCTACAAGAGTATTCAGACATGGAACCCGCAGGCTGCCTTCCCAAAGCCAGACAAGCAAGGTGCTAGACATTGGGAAAGAGACCATAGGCTCTGGCACGGTCCTAGAATCCTCCCACCTCCTTCCCCAAGCTGGGGAAGCACTAACTAGGCTTCAGGAAGGAGGACTCTAGGAGCCCTCACGCCTTCATCCCAAAGTCCAGTGCCTTGCTTACCGGCTTTGGGAAGGTGGTGCAAGGGATGTGGGGGGGTCATATGTTGCCGAGGGCCACCAAATAAAGCCTCAAGGGCCACATGTAACCCCTGGGCCATGTGCTGGACCACCCTGATGTAGATGCATGTTGTGCATGCAGACAACCCAGCTTGGGGAGGTGGGTGCTTGGCAATGGGCACTGTCCCAGGTGGCACATTTCAAATTGATCTTGACACCCATCTGACCCTTGGGTCATAGCGTACAAGCAGCTGGTTCTATAAACAGAATGCTAAGTCAGGTCACCATGGCTTCAGAACATTCAGTACATGCAAAAAGGCATTGGATAACTAAATTCCAATCTGCCTATCAGCCTGAGAAGTGTGTATCATGTTAAGTCATTACTGCAAATGACAGAGGTCACGTTCACCAAACATCCCTGCTTCTAGTTGGGAACTGCTGTGAATTTTCTCTTACCTACACTTCTTTTACAAGCCAAGATAGCAAAGAACGAACACGGAACTTCTTCAAGGTCCCCGTTCTTCCTCATTTGTGTGCAGGTGGAAGAAGCTTTTCCATACATTTCTTGACTAAGAATCAAACACACAAGAGGTTATACCAAATAAACCCTTGCACATGTGGGATAACTTCTGCAAGCACAACAGAATGTACCTGATCACAAGAAAACCAGCTCTGCAGCTCTCCCAAGCCTCTTGGGCAGGGTATAGGGAACATGGGGGAGTAAAAGGAGGGGAGGTTGCATTGCACTTGCAGAAGTTGTTCTGCGCATACAATGATTTAGCTGGATGCAACCCAAGGTAAGCAAGGTTAGATACTGAAAAAAAAAATCACCAATATTTTAAATTATAGTATATAATAGGCAAGGTAATTATAGCAAAATATAAAGTTTAAAAACAAGGCTATACAAATGAATATCAGAGAAAAAATTGAAATGATGAAATTTAAAATGTTGTAATTTCTATTCATATGTTGAATTTGAATGGCAAAACTTTAAATTAGAACTGAGGACTCTAAATCTGTAACAACACTGTATCCAAAAATGCCCCCTGCAATTCAGTGGCATATTTCTTGATCATTTAATAATTAGTAGACAATTTACTAAATGCTGTTACAGGTGGCTGCTAAATACTGTCAGTAGCATGTCTGAAATTTCAAAACATTGCCTGCTGTCCTGCCTTCACCTGTCTGTTTCAAATGTTGCTGCTACAACAAAACCACTGGATGTTCCATTCTGATCTAAAATAAGAATCATAGAATTGTAGAGTTGGAAGAAACCACAAGGTTCATCTAGTCCAACCCCTGCTATGCAGGAATCTTCTGCCCAACTTGGAGTTCAAACCCACAACTCTGAGATTAAGAGTCTCGTGCTCTACTGACTATTATTCAGTAAATGAGCTGGTCAAGCTATGTGTGGCAGAGCAGATGCAATCGCCCTCTAAGGCTACTTGGAAAGAAAGCTGTAATAATATATTGCTTCAAAAATTTGGTTTTTATCCAGTAGCCCTCCTAACATCTAATGTGCAGTCTAGCTGAAGGTTTATTAAAGAGCATTTGCAGGAACTATTGGTCAGACAGGATATGGAAGCAGTGAAGGCAACGATAACATCAAATACCTGCTGTCTAGCTCAAACAAACTAGTTATGTTTAACACAGTAAAGCTTGCGCTAAAAGCCTCTCAACTCAGGAAAGCCCTGGAGTCCTGTCGTGCCCTGAGTTTCCCACCTGAGTTTGTGAAGTGTTTTATAATGTTTTGATAATATGTGCTATAATATGTTTTTAAGACCTGTCTGTTTTTATTTGTTTTGTTCTTGGCTATAACCTGTACATGTATTTGGTTGACCAATAAAATCTGATGACCGATGAACATCCCAACAGGTGCTTATTTCTTATAATCAGCTAGACAACTAAACCTGCCTAATACACCATTAATGAAAGCAATAGTTTCTCTTACGAGTTAGTCATTTCTTTGAGTTTTGGCACTGCTGAGTCAGTCCATATAGCATCCTTTATCATAGACAGCAGCCAGATCTGCAGATTAAGAATACACTTATTTGATAGACATACTGAACATCAACAGCATAGTTCTGTAATCTGCCCTACCTGAAAAAAGAATTGTTTGAAACTATTTATCTATTATTTATTTAGACCATTTCTATATCAGTTAATATATAAAATGGCATCTCTAAATGGTGTACAAAAATTAAAGCAAGAACATATAACTTGAACAAGTAGATGAACAATGCAATGTAGATTTTTTCAATATGTTCCTTTCCTTACTACACATTGTTCGGATCTTTTTGAATGTTCAAAATATTCAGCAAAGGGGGTGGGGTAGGATTTTATAATGTAACACTGCCAATTATGTCAAGACAGAGCAATGGCAAATAATGATATAGCCACTTACTTACTTTATGCTCCAGGACTAAACAAGTCTACATGTTTTCCCTAACGTTGTCTTCCCTATCTTCATATTTTAACATATATCATAGGTTTGATATAGGAAAATTGGTTGCATTATATGATATTTAACATCAGCAGACACCCACTCTAGAGCAGAATAAAGACTCCTATGTCAGGCCTGAAATAGTAGCAGAAAATTCTCTTGCTCTCCAAATGCATGTTAAGTTTAACTTCTGTATCCAATAGGAGAAGGTACTGTTTTTCAGTTGACAGGGTATAAAAAGGCAGGGTATAAATAAATAAACTCTTATTTCTCATTATTTATGCCATTCCAGAACTGTGTCAGTTTATGCATGTTACCTTTTCCTCTTTGCTTAGTGGCAGTCGTATAAGTTCAGTTTCATAATAAGCATTGCAGAAATCCTTTGCTCCTTCCCAAGTGAATTGCTTCGCTGTCTCTATGTAATAACAATTGTCCTTCCAGTACCACCATCCAGGATCTGTTGGACACTTAAGATTAATCACACCTGAGAAATTAACAGCAGCATTTTAAACAAATATAATTTCCAAGTCATTGCCCCCAACCCACCACCAGGTCAGAAGTGTTGTAACAATTAAGCCTGCTTGCAGAGGGCTGATACTCAATCCACTACCCACTTGATGCCAGAAATAAATTGGGGTCATAAAATAGTGTCCAGTACATATGTTATAATAAATGAATGCTGAGTGGTGATGTATCAGGAAAGTGAGCCCTTCACTGCCCATGCCAAAACACACCCGGCTAAAAAGAGAGAAGGGTAGCATCAGACATCTATACCTGCAGAGATTGCATGGCTCTTTCATTTTTCTCAAAAAAAAGAGTCAAAACTTCCTGTGGTCCAAAGGGGAAAAAAAGGAAGAAACACAATAAAAATATGGGATGACTTCATCATATGGATGCTCCTTAAAAACTGAATGAGGCATGGTAATTCCACACTACACACCTAGTGTGAAAGCACCCCAAGTCAGCATAAATCACTATCTGGTTACAGCATAAAAACTTTCACCTGATGAATGCAACAATATCTTGATAACCCAGATGCAGAAGTAAACCTACTGCTGAAAAACAATTCATTTCGCGTGTCCCAACTTCATGTTGAGGAACTCATCTGCTAAAGATCACATCAGCCCTTCTTGCTAGATGGATGATTTGAAATCCCACAGAAGCAGGTAGGAATCAATTAATGTCAATCATTTGTGCATGAGACACATTTTGGCACCTGATTGACATGCTTGTATGCCATGCATGATACTGGAAATAGTGTTTGAATGGGTAGGCATGATCAAGTCAGACGTTGCCAGACCGGCACCTGTAGGCACCTACAAAGGCCTTCACTGTGACACCAGACCCTGGGTAGAAGTCCTAGATTCTGAGCTTTTATTAAAAAAAGAAAAGAACATAGTCTTCCTAGAAAAAAGTTATGAAGCAAAAGGGTGTCATTATTCTATTGTTGTTGTTGTTGTTATATCCTCCAAGGTAACACACATAGTTCTCTCTCACACAATCCTGTGAAATAAGTTAGGCTGAAAGACAGTTACTGTCCCAATATCTCCCAATGAGCTTCGTGAGTGAGGATCTAAACCCTGGTCTCCCAGGTCAACCAAACTTGGCTATGTAGAAATATTAGCAATACCAATTTTGTGTCAAGCTACAACCTTATGGCAGCCATTTTGTGACTGGTACTAATGACTTTCTCTCAAAATTCCAAATGTGCTACTGGGTCCAAAAAGTTTGGCAATCCTTGCTATAGGTAGCAGGCCAGAAAGCCATGAGAGAGCAGAAGATTGCATTAGTGTGCATGAAGATGGAAAAACAGCCCATGTTTTCTAAGCAGAATGCTGACAAGGGCATGGAAAAGGAAATGGAAGCGCTAAATGCACAGACGTGCTCTGGTTAGTTCTTGCAGGCACATTACAAAACTTGCTTCCTTATCTCTCCCTAACTGCTGACCAGTATGAAGCTAGCCTTGAGCTTAAAGTAATCTGGAAAATGCAGCAGATAACTCTGATGCAGAAATGTGCATTTACCAGGACTCTGGCATCAAAACCTTCACTACACCTAGTTTGGCCAACTAGATTATTTGTGAGTTGTAAATTTGAGTGCAGTTTAGGATAAGGTTTTTAATTTACTGGATTTAATAAAACTTTATAACTAGAATTTCACCATTCGATATGTTGTGGGGCTCCTTCTGCATGATCCTACCCAGACTCAAGGTCTGATCAACCATGAGTCACAAGTAGGACAAATGAGGGTCTTCATTGGTCACAAAGACATGAGGATACCTAGTCATAGAAATCCCATGCAATGTCTCATTTGTTGCTCAGCAGATTTGCCAGACAAACCCGAGTCCTACAATTTCTGACTTATTAATTCTTCCTCAGTAACATCCCCTTTCACCATTCTTACTCTGCTTGTCAATAAAGAGTAGAACAAGGGAAGTAGCACATCCTTTCACAATTTTTCACAGGACACTGTTGTTATTAGGTGATAAGAATAAGAACAGATTAATTCTTTTACACTGCTACTTCCATAAAAGCTTTGTCACCTTGATCAATGAGCTCATTTTTTCTCTCCCCTCCAGATCAGTCTGAGGAGGGGAGGGCCACCCAACCAACAGGACTGCAAATTGTGTACCTTCTTCACAATCTTTTCCTATGAAGTCTTCGTTACACTGCTCGTTTTCTGCACATTCTCCAGTTAATGGATTGCAGTTCTTAGTGCCATTACAGGTGCAGTTTATACTACAATCAGGACCATAATACCCTGGTGTGCAAGCTGCCAAAAGAGATTTCAAAGATCAAATATAATTGCATATTAAAATGACCATAATATGTTTTATTTTGTTTTTTTAAAGCAGGATGGTGAAAATTACATAATAGCATCTCCTTGCTGCTCTGCAAAAAAACTGAACAGTCTTACAAAACAACTGTGTGACACAAACTTTAGGCCAGCCTCCTGGTGACCCAGAAACCAATTAGGGGTGGATGGAGTGTCATCCAATCAGGAGGAGGATGTTAAAAGTTAGAAGCTGACAGTCTGGGCTTGAGTACCTGTGAGAGCTGAGATAGGGTTTGTCTGTCATTTAGGTTTAGACAAAGCTTGGAAACTGCCTACTTCAGGAACAGTTAAAAGCCTCGTTAGGGCTGATTTTCGGGTTAACAAGGTGCAGCAACCTGGACTGCTTCCTATCTCTTGCCTTCAACCACAAATGTATAGACATGCTACAGAATATGTGAATAAGTTGGTGGAGCAGTCACCACCAATTCAATGGACAACAGTTTGGGAATCCCTGGTCTGGAAGAAGTGTAAACTGAAGCATCTTTTGAAGCTTCAGTGGGTGCTCAGTAATCATTTCAAAACAATAGCTCTATCACTAGCTATTAATCATGATAGCTAATTGGGAACCTCCAAATATGGAGGCTGTGTACCCAGAATACCAGTTGGTTAGGGACAATAATGGAGGTGGGCTTGGGAGCTTCCCAGGGGTCATTGAGCTAGCCACTATAGTATGAATATAAAAAGAGTGATTCATTTATATAATGGGTTAATTAATCCCTGTCACAGGATTCCACAAGTGTGGCATACTGTTACATACCGGTTTTCAAATATGCTGTATAGAGATTTGCAAATGATCCCCTGACAAATACAAGACGCTTTGCAATCAGTGTTATGTACGTAGCTCTTATCCTTTGAACTCCAGTGCAAAGACTTCTTTTGTCTCTACAATGCAGAAAGGCATCATGTAATGATATGTGGGTGACTACTTTAGTGTTGTTGACAATGCCAGTCAGGTAATAGCCACCAAACTCGATGAAATCTGTACTTTCTAGAACACAAACAAAATTAGTTTGGATAAATAGCTGTGCAATTTACGTACATCATTTGAAGGACTTCTGTGCCAATCAAACATTAAGCCTAGACAGATGAAAAGAAGCTGCTGGAGAGAGACTGTGAGTAACATAAAG